TTCAGAAATCCGCAACGCTAGATGGCGCTGATCCAAAAAACTATTATACTTACAGTAGAGCCATGTAATTGATTATAAACCAGCCGCAAATAATTCTGTTCATATAAAATAAAAATTTGAAGCTGTTTGTATTATTTGCGGCAAGTACACAATTTATCTTTTATCTGAAAATCAACCTCCAAAGTACAGATATTTTACTTGTATTGTTTAATAAAATCGACCATATCGCACTACTTATAAGTAAATAGTGATTACTATAAACTATAATTACTACACATAACTTTATGTATATCTTACACCCTGATCTCTTCACCAGAATGATTAAATCAGAGGCTGTGTTCCGCAAATACTGCGAGCAGTTAGGTTACCTACGTAACTTAACTGCTGTCAGCATTTGCGGATTTATGTTTCTTAAAGGAAGGATGAAAGTGACAGTGTCCAAGATTTTAAAAATGAACCAAGGAAAAGCTGATGTCGAGGCTATATCTCAAAGCTATTTGGTAGAACTAAGTGTATTAGCTCCTAGTGGTCAAAATGCCATTGCAGAGGAAATTAAAAACTTTGCTGAGCAGTTGAAACCACTTGTGCAACTAGAAAAAATAAATTATAGTAGGCAACATTAAGTCAATTTTTCCTACAATGTACATTGTATCAAGTATTATTTTTTCTACTATGTGTATTTTGTAAATAAACAAATCTCTTATTTATATACTAAAATGATTAATGAAGCTCATATTTTACATTATTACTACAACCCTATTGGAATACTTTTTTTTAAGGGGATGAGGATAAATGAAACAATGTCAGAAATGGTTAAATATAAAAATTATGTATGAGTTTATTTCCGTAAAAACAGTCGCGAAAAATTTATTTACATGAACGTGATCAGATTTGCAGTAATATTTTGTGAATAATCATATCACGCCCCACTTTTCTTCAAATGCTGAGCATAATTTAGTGCATGTTATAGCTGCAGAAAGAGGGTAATTACTAATTGAATATGAGTCCTCTATGTAGTCAGCTTTGACCTACAACAGAAAATTAAAAATTAGATAAATCGGTAAGCCACTTACTCAGCTTAGAGACTTTTTTTAATAGAAACAAATTATCTTACTTGACCACGAGCCATTGCACCAATAACCACAGCAATAGGTTCTTCATCAGTTGGTACAAGATCTCTTGGATGTACCACAGCCTTTGCACTAAATGACATGCCAATTTTCTTACATCCAACTGGCAAATGATCTGTTACTGGATTCTTGATAACTTTTAACAACTTTAAAGATGACTCGGAAGCTTTTACACTGTACTTGTGTAAAAGTTGCACTAAAATTTATTAAAATTTTCTTTCATATGGTTGACCGAGATGTAACAACACGACTGTGATTAGCAACTGCTAAAACTTACCCATTAATCCCGCAAAACGCTTAAAAGTCCTTGGTATCCTCGTCTGTGGATTTATTTCAATCAATACATTTTTCTCTGTGTGAATATAAACTTGCAAAAGACCTGCTCTATTCAAGGGACTGTCCATGAGCATGAGGAGGCACTGATGCGTAATGTCAGGTCGACTGCTACCTGGTTCCCTGTTACTTTTCTTCAGCAATTGTACATGGTCGTCGCAATTCAGTAACTCAAAGGTATTTCCAACCTTCACGGTGTTAAATAAAAATTTGTATAAATAAGCCGAGAAACACTTGTGAGATAATTTTATGGGAAAAAACAACCAAGACAGATAATAACCTCACCTTAACCGACTCGATTTGCGCGTTCTCCAGGATAACAATTAGTCGCTTTTCTTGCTTTGCAATGTGACCAGTTTGCAAGTGTTTTGGAGTCGGATCATATTCCGTTTCGTCGTCATTGTCGAATTTTCTTTTTCTCGCTCCTCGACCCATTTCAAAAAATAAACGCTGTGTCTATTCGCACCAAATCCACGTAATTACGTGGATATATGGTTAGGAATTTTAAAGAAAAACGCTACTTATGTGTACAGAATTATTTGCGGCTGGTTTAATTGATTAAATTGCTCTACTGTAAGTAGTAGTAACTATTTGGATCAGCGCCATCTAGCGTTGCGGATTTCTGAACTAAAAAGTGGCCCTAAACTTTTCAGCCAGAGCTTTAGCGCTTAGAGCCATTTAATCACTTATAAACCAGCCGCAACTCATTTCGTAGCTATAAAATAAAAAAATAACAATACATGTGTTTTTGGCGGCAAGTTAACAATTTATCTTTTACTCAAAAATTCATCTTCAAAAGTATAAATGCATATGAGGTCAATTTTTGGTAGAAAATAGATTGTTAACTTGCCGCCAAAAACACATGT